AATTGGATAAACACCCGTTTAAATAGTTGAATTTTTGAGCTTTAAATGCGGCAACATATATACTTGTATATATTTTCTTGATCTGGAAGGCCTCTTCTATCCGTTAATACCCAATTTAACCTCGAAATCGGGGGTGCTATTCTAAAATTTACCCTTCTTTCTTGATATTGTATTTGTTAAGGTATCTACATTAAATTTTAAAAATAAATACTATAACTACTATTACTTAGCTATTTAAATTTTAAACTAATGATTATAAAAAGTTGAGAGTTACAACATTTAACATGATATGTTTACGTAGATAATAAGACTACTACGGTGGTTATCTTGGATTTCATGTTATAGCAGAGCCAGTGAAAAACGCTACTGCCTTCCTTCCTTTTCCTTCCTCATGTGTGGGCCGTGCGTGGCAAAAACGAAGAATTCAGCCATCTTTGTTTGTTTTCATTTGCACAATGTTGTCATTGCTCAATACTCATAATAGTTTTGTACACATCTATGTTTTCAATTATAAGTTTTTATAATATAAAATATCAAAACTGAAAACAAACTATTAAAAATAGTTTTTATATTTATAAATAATAGCATTCGACTCTGATTTTGAGTTATTTTAAGAAAACTTCAAACATATTGAACAGATTGAATTATAAAAGTTGATAATTACTACAGTATATAGATATTGGCAACTCTGGGTTGTGAGAGAGCAATCAGCTGACACGTTTCCACGGCAAAAATCAAAATGCTGTAGATTCTCACGTCATCCGACGTCAAAGAGAGAAGGGAGTAGCGTTTTTCACTGTGCACTTACATTGCGCGCCCATAAGATAGGTCGTATCAGCTGACACGACCTCACGATTCTTCGTCATGGATATCCATGTCTTCGTTTCTCACTGTTCCTGCTATTAAGAAGCGTGTTAAGTGACTAAGCAAAATGTTAGAATATCAGTTGTTAACATTTCCTAACCAAACGAAATATTTCAGGTTAATATGCATAAAGAAATATTTCTAAGTAAATAAATCCAGCACCCTCAGTGTGGAGAAATTCGCCCGCGACTTTAAGAAGACATATGTATGTATACGTGTGAAGTAATAATAGGGCATTTAACTAAAAATGATGGCCATAGACCACACAAGTAAACTGCACAAGTCTAGCACTGTGCAAAAAAAACTGCGACTCGTACTATACAAGCCAACTGTGCAAGTTTTTATTTTAATGTTGAAAGCGAAACAGACAACATGTGTAAATATTGCGCGATAAGAAAAAAAAAAAAAGTGTGAAAAAAGGAAAAAAAGTGTGTGGAGTAAACAATGGTTTTTAAAAAGAGACAAGTTAGGGGAGCAGAAAATATTGAAAGAATTAGAATTTTCAGCAGAAAGTGATTTTAAATTATGTAAGAATGAGCAAAGAAACTTTTGATGAATTGTTGGCAAAAGTGGCACCACTAATAAAAAAAATGATACAATTATGAGAAAAGCGATTCCAGTGCATCATCGTTTGGCCTTGACGTTGCGGTTTCTGGCAAGTGGCAACAGTTTTGAGGACTTCAAATTTCTAACAGCCATTGCACCGCAAACTATGGGTGGAATAGTGTTCGAAACTTTTGAAGCCATAATTGATGTCCTGAAAACCAACATTGCGGTGATTAATCAGAAGACTTCACGTGTTGACACCTATCGTTATCGTTTGTCATTTTTGCAGTTGCCATCAAGTGAAAAAGATTGGAAAAAGGAAGCTAATGCGTTTTACCAATGATGGAATTTCCTAACTGTATCGGGGCGATGGATTGTTGGTATTACAAAACCCCCTGGAACAGGATCTTTCTACTTCAATTATAGAAAATTCTTTTCAATAGTTTTAATGACTGTTGTAAATGCAAATTACAAGTTTTTAATGGTAGATGTTGGCAAAAACGGACGTGCTTCAGATGCTACAATTTTTAGTGATTCACTTTTTTTATGAGTTTGAAGAACAACGAGCTCAAAATACCGTCTAAAGAGTGTCCTCCAGGTTGCGATACTGCATTACCCTATGTCTTTGTCGCAGATGACTCGTTCCCTTTAACTGAAAATATAATGAAGCCGTTCAGCCATACTTCGATGATAAAAGATGAAATAATATTCAATTACCGACTGTCACGTGCGCGGGGCGTAGTTGAAAATACATTTGGAATTCTTTCATCAAGATTCAGAATTTTGTTAAAAACTATTAATTTGTCACCCGAAAAAACAACAATCATAGTCCTCACTTGTTGCTACTTACATAATTAAAAAATGACCAAGTATACGCCAACAGTAATCTTGCAGGTACAACAGAAACAGAAGTCCTAGCACCAGTAAATCGTACTGTTATAAGAAATCATACAACTAATGCAAAAGATATAAGAAGACAATTTTGTAAATACTTTACTTCTGAAGGATCTGGTTCATGGCAAAACAGTATATATGAAAAACTCACTTACAAAAATGTCAATGATTTGACCAATTAAAAATAATTTTTAACCAAACACCAGAATTATATAATATAAACGACTGGATTTACAAAAAACAAATAATTCTTTTTTTATTTATTTWGCTCTAGTATTTGGTAATAACAAAACATAAAAAATTCACTTTAATTTCAGTGATATAAAAAAAAATTTATTAAAAATTCGTGTAGAATCCCCGTGTTGATTCCTGTGAATTATATGTTGTTSGGTCATATGGAGCATTTATAAGCTCTCCTGGCGATGGAGTGGATACGTAAGAAATTGCTGTTGTTGGTCTGGATKGAAATAYGTTGAATAATTCCTGTATGTGCGAATTATTCAAATTTCCAACACATCCTTGAAACAAAACATCCGATATTAATTTACGCGCCAATATATTGTTTTGTTGGTTACTGTTATTTTGTGATTTCAGGTGTTCGCACGCTATTTTAATTAAATTATCTTCATTGGTAATTTTACGTTTTTTTAGTCTATGTTGTATTGTTGATGTTTTTGGTGAAGTCTATAATTTATAAAAATAAGTTTTACATATTTATGTGAATATTTATATATGATTAGATTAAGGCTAAACGGCACATTTCGTTGGTCTGAAAGCCAAACGAAAGACCTTTTGATAAATATAGCGGACGCAATAAAACAGAATCCGGACCATTTTGAGGTAATATTGATATATTTTTTGTCATTTCATTATTTTACATTTTACGATCTGCTTTTAGAAACCAACCGCCCAAAGGTTTTACAACAAAATTGGCGAAAAAGCTCCAAATTTAATGAATATTAAATGTGACATAATGAGGAGGCATTTTAGGCATTTGAAAACGACTTTTTTATCTGCGCTCAAGTGGAAAGGCCAGACTGGTGCAGTCTTACTTGAAAGTGGTGATCCTCATAGTGTGGAAGAATACATAAAAAAAATATTTCCTTTTTATGAAGACCTACACGTCGCATAAGTGTTCAGCCACCAGCGATTTATCAATCAACAGAGTTGGTGTCAGCGTTGGACGATACATATATAGAATATATTACCCCAAAGATAGACCCCGACACAAGTTCTTCGAGTCCGTTATCCGCCTGCAGATGAAGTAGTTAGTCCGTCCGCTAATTTTGCATGCACATCTACACCAAGAAGAAATATGAAAAGATCTCATAGTAGTTCAAATCCATTTTCATTACTTTTCGAAATCCAAAATAAGAAGTTGGAACTAGAAACGAAAAAATTGGAATTTGAAAAAGAGAGAGAGGATTCAATTGCAGAAATTACGGTTGGAGAAAGAAATGGAAGTAGAAATGGAAAAAGTTAGATTGGAACACGAACGATTGAAAAGCTTAAATAGCTCATAATTTGCCAGAATGTAATAATCTGTATTCCAATATAAGATTTTTAAATTTTGCCTTTTTCTTTTTAATACATTTGTTGGTTTGTTTTACTTATAGTGACTTAGTGAATATGGTCCACTTTGCTTTTTTTTTTACTTTATCCGTATTAAGTTATTTCTAGTCAAATAATTTATGTTACTTGTTTATAAAAAGAAATTTTATTTTATTTGAAAAAATAAACAAGAAAATAATGTTTAAATTAAGATATTTATTGATTAAACAATTGTTCAAAGATTTTTCGTCGCCTTATCTCCCTTTCATTGGTACGAGCATTTGGTTCCCATAGCGACTCGTCGTGTTGGAGTATAAAGTTGTGTAACAATGCACAACAGTGAATCCATTTGTTAACTTTTCTCATACCATTTTCATTTTTAATTTGTAGCCTTAAGCCTTTTAAACTACCAAATCTTTCCTTCAGCATTCCAAAACAATGTTCAATTCGAATTCTATATCGACTGAATGTTTTGTTTAAAAAATTCCTTTGGCTTAGTGTTCAATTTCTAGAATTTTCTCTAAATGGCGTTATAACAGTACTCGATAACATTGTCAAGACAAGATTGTCAAGTGTTGATAAGAAAATGTTTGATGAAGAGCCCCTCGCCGGAACATAAGGAGGCATATTCGTAAGATTATGATCCGCAAAAGAAAGCGCATTCTAAATTTTTCGTTTTTCTTCGGAACCACGCTCAAAAGTTTGGTTTAAATGCCAAAATATTTTTTTTCATTTTTTTAAATGCTCTAATGTGCATATAGAACTTGAATTTATTCCAATAAATAAGCTTTTAATTGTTAGTACAAATTCTTTTATTCATTGTTTGCATAACTTAACAATTCATAGATGGTTCGGCGTACCGCTTCCCCTTGATTAGTTTGAGCAGTAGGTAATGACTCTAAAACATAGTGCTCAGATTTCTCAAGCTCGTAATCGAAACGATCGTCAAGTCGGAGTATAACATTGTGCAACAACGCGCAGCAGATAATCCATTTTTTTTACTATATTCATGCCTTTTTCATCCTTGATTTGAAGTCTCAACGTTTTCAAGCTGCCAAACCTTTCCTTCATCATGCCAAAACAATGTTCAATTCTAATCCTATAACGACTGAATATTTTGTTAAAGAAAGTTCGCTGACCTTGTGTTAGTTCTCTAGAGTTTTCTCTAAAGTTCGTGACAATTTATAGGCACTGTCACCTGCGATCCATTCAGCTCCTCCAAAAAACACATCGGCGTCATTCGACAATTCGCAGTTACTAAAAATACGTGCATCATGTACGCTACCTAGATAGCCTAACACTAAATGTCTTATTTGAAGCGAATGGTCTGAGTATTGGTGCTTTCGTGAAAAGTAAGCTTCTGGGTCTTGAGAAGGTTTTTCCGCCAAAGGAATTTCAGTACCATCGACGTATCCCACGCAGTTTGGCAATTCACCCCAGGTTTCTGACACGAGCTTTTTACGTTCATCGCTATTTGGCCAAAACAGATACTGATCTTTATGCTTKAACAGTGCTTTAAAAATTCTGTCAGTCAAATTCTAATATAAAGAAAAAGATAAACATTAATCTAACAAAACAATGACAAACACTAACCTGATTGATACCACCATCACTAATTCCAAACAAGCCAGCAATCTTAGACAGAGGAGCGCCTTCACCGTTTGAGCCTAAGCGATATAATACGATTGCTAATTGTGTTTTGAGAGGGAATTGTTTGCAAGAACGTATTTGGTTGAACGACGCATCGTCCTTTATTAAATTTAAAATAAAGTCGAAGGTTTTCCAGTTTACGYGTRTAATYTTCTTGAATCTAGTCTCATCAAGTTCCYATAACACGTCGTTTAAGAATTCCTTACACTTAGGCACACTATTTTGAATAAAMRGCACACTGTATCTGCATTCTTCGCCCAGGGCCAAAACAATCAGCAGTTCCTCCAATATGTAATCTTCTTTTATTGTCTTCTCTTCTACCAGAAAACAGAATTTTACTCATTTGAAGCAAAATACAAATTAAATATATGTATACCTTCGTCCTCACAAAAATTGTCGATAATCATTAAATCATTTAATGCAGCTACTTCTAATAATTTAAGAAGTTTTTGTTTCTCGCTCACTTTCGGCATTTTAAAATATTCACTTTGAACAAATAAAAAGCTGACTTGTGCGAATTTTGCTATCATGTTTTGCCATTGGGCACTCATTTAACCGTAGTACCATTATTATATCACAAGATTCTCCAATGGGTGCTCTCATGGCCTTGCATATTTCGGTATAGGATGTTTGCCTTTTGTGTCATCGTGCAATCTTGCAAGAGCAAGAGAATTCCAAATTGTTTTCGTTTGGCCGTTTTTCTGCTCGCTATCTTTGTGCGCTGTACATATAGCAAACATTTACATGTGAAAACAACAACAAGGATATATATTCCTAAGGTTTTAAATTCAGTAGTTACTTTCAGATGAGAACACCCTCTAGATGTGAATGGAACTCCTACTTTTTTTTAAGTGGAAGCACTAGGCATAGTCTGTGGAGTTCTATTGAAAAGTACGGGAGTATTCAGGAAGATACTATATACAAAGACGGCCTTTCGCATTGCTAGTCTTATCGTCTTTTTCTTCTTTATTGGCATAGACACTGCTTACGCGATTATAGCCAAGTTAACAACAGCGCACCAGTCGTTTCTCCTTTTTCCTGCTTGGCGCCAATTGGATATTCCAAGCGAAGCCAGGTCCTTCTCCACCTGGTCTTTTCAACGGAGTGGAGGCCTTCACCAAAGATTAATTCAAATTTAGTTAACAAATTTAGATATAATATTCTTCGCGCCAAGAACGATGAAGATGGAGTTCAATAACAATTTCATTATATAACTCAGAACAGATGGAAATCTATAAGCAAATCTAAGATAACGAAACAGATATGGAGTAAGTATGACAATTCAAAAATTAAGGACTCATTAAATATATCCACAAAGAAATGTATAAGCTTATAGGTGCTATACCAGGCTCTTGAACATTTGGAGAACATACCGTCAGCTACAAAATTGAAAGAAACAGTTTTCCAATCCCTCGATATTTCGAAAAGAAAATTGAAATCCAGGAACAAAGCTACCGTTTTAGTAAAACAAAAGCATTTTCTACAACTATTCGAATAGACGAATGCAATTTGTTAAAATATCGTTACCAATTTTTACGGTAAGCAAAATCAGAATAACTAACATTGGTTGAAACTGACAGAAACTTTTCAAAAAGATTTGATCAGCGCAGAACTATGCTTTCATGGAGACAACTAGGTTCGCTTTTCTCTAAGTAGATACAGCATTCATGTTTTTGCAGAAACCATCCCTGCAGTCCAATATTTGAAATGGAGTTGGCTCCTGTGAGCATTAAGAGATCATACCTTGATTACGTTGACGACATAATGCTATGAGCGCAAGAAACTTCAGACACGCACTGAACCACATTCACTGTAGAGCTATTAAAACCTTCACCGATATACGAAATATATATTCTGCGTGCAATTCTACTCGACCCCGTCGTAAAGTCACGTTTCCTGGGTATACCGTTAGATGACTTTGATGACAACTACCCTCAACCTTACCACAAAAGCGGGAATTAGATAGCTACAAAAACAACAATAAAAATATATTTGTGTATGGCGTGCCCAAATTGTACACTTAATCTGCTCATGACTCTTGGAGCTCTATTATTTAGTTGCAATACGCTCAGTACCCAAGACAATTCACCAGGTAATGAATTGATGACAACAAACCCAATAATATCATTGCTTTACCTTCTCCAAGGTAATCACTATTTCTCTTTAACCTTTGTGCAACTCGTTGATAATTTCGAAAATTATTACCTTCAGAACAATCATAAAAGTTCGAGAGCATTGTCCATCTTTCCTTTCCTATACGCAAGGCAGGCAGTTCGATACCACTTTACCACTGATCTTTCTGCAGCTAMTTCTTCTTTTGTTGGACGTTTATTCTCTCCRCTACATGTATTACACTTTCAAATGTGAATTTTGCTGCTTACATTTTCGTCACTCCTTTTGATTGAATTTAAGATTGTCCGTGTTATTGTATAATGTCATCTTTAGCCTCTTTTTACGTTTGAGATGGAGGATGGAGTCATAGTCATAGTGTAGAAGTTCACGCAAGTGAGGAAGTTCTCTGATCGCCATTCAGTTGGGAGTGCCAGAAACGATTCCTTTACATGTGATTCACGCAGCTCACGACTTCCGGTCTTTGACCAAGTATCCTCTGGGTAGCCTAAGAACGTCCGTTTGAAGGCGAGCGAAAGTGAGAAAGGGAAATATCCGCTACATAGGGTTGAGCGCAGGGTTTGGGACCCGCCACGTCGCCGAGTACTATCATTCATTCCGGTGAATGAATGTCTAGCCACAATCCGCATCAAAGCGATGAGAAGGACGATGGAACCAAAGATGCATGCCCCCGCCGCGATGTCAATATCGTACTTGGCGACTTTAACGCCAGGGTGGGAAAAAAGGTATCTTAGGCACTACAGTCGGTAAATTCAGCCTCCACAACGAAACATCCAGAAATGGATTGATCGACTTCACCGGGGCCCGAAATATGGTTATCTGTAGTACTAGATTCCAGCATAAGAAGATTSATCAAGYTACCTGGCTGTTTCCGGATCGAAAAACCACCAACCAGATCGATCTTGTTGTGATAGACGGAAAACACGTCTGCAGTGGTTTAGATGTGCGTGCGCTTCGACGTCCTAACATCGTCTCGGACCACTATTCACACCCGCCTCTGTGCAGCAAGAAACGCACGCCAGCAAACGCAAGGAAGGTTCGACGTCGAGAAGCTGCAATCACAACAGACAGCCGAACGATTTTCTACTCGGCTTGCACTCCTGCTCTCTGAGAGCACTCGTCAACAACTCAGTATAAGGGAACTGTGGGACGGCATTTCAAACTCCTTACGTACAGCTGCAACCGAAACCATTGGTTTTCGGAAGGTGCAAAAGAAGAGGCCGAAATGCGTAAGTACGAAGAGCTTGATAAGCTGGCTTACAGAAGCTTTCAAGACCGGGGCATACTCTTGTAGAACCCCCAAAGGTGATCTAGTCACCGATGCCCAGAGCATACTCAGCTATTCAAGCACGGCGACGAAGAACTGATAAGGAGCATGCATCAGCTTCTTTGTAAAATATGGTCGGACGAAAGCATGCCCAACGATTGGAATTTAAGTGCGCTGTGAAGAATCTACACAAAAAGAGACCCCACAATTTGAGCCAATCTTGGAAAAAACCTGTGAAAAGAGAATCGGCACACATCACCTCTTCGTCAATTTCAAAGCTGCTTTCGGCAACACGAAAAGGAGCTGCCTTTATGCCGTGATATCTGAATTTGGCCGATGATATTGATATCATTGGCCTCAACACCCGCGCCGTTAGTTCTGCTTTCTCCAGACTGGACAAGGAAGCAACACAAATGGGTCTGGCAGTGAACGAGGGCAAGACGAAATATCTCCTGTCATCAAACAAACAGTCGTCGCACTCGCGACTTGGCACTCACGTCACTGTTGACAGTCATAACTTTGAAGTCGTAGATAATWTCGTCTATCTTGGAACCARCGTAAACACCASCAATAATGTCAGCCTGGAAATCCAACGCAGGATAACTCTTGCCAACAGGTGTTACTTCGGACTGAGTAGGCAATTGAGAAGCAAACTCTATAAGTCACTAATAATTCCAGTCCTGCTATATGGTGTAAAGGCTTGGACGATGTCAACAACTGATGCGTCGACTTTGCGAGTTTTCGAGAGAAAAGTTCTGCGATATATTTATGGTCTTTTACTCGTTAGAAACGGCGAATATCGCATTCGATGGAACGATGAGCTGTATGAGATATATGACGACATTGACATAGTTCAGCGAATTAAAAGACAGCGGCTACGCTGGCTAGGTCATGTTGTCCGAATGTACAAAAACACTCCTGCTTTGAAAGTATTCGACGCTCTACCCGATGTGGGTAGCAGAGGAAGAGGAAGACCTCCACTACTTTAGAAGGACCAGGTGGAGAAGGACCTGGCTACACTTAGAATATCCAATTGGCGCCACGTAGCGAAAAGGAGAAAAGACTAGCGCACTGTTGTTAACTAGGCTATAGTCGCGTAAGCGGTGTTTACGCCAATTAAGAAAAAGAAGGTCAGTTGGATTACTCCTGTGCTGATATGATAAGGGCACTTATGTTAATATTAGATTAAATAAGATACAAATTTGAGTAATACACATCGATCTGTGGTCTATTGTGCCCACTCCTGATTTTACAACACTTCGTTTAACCCAGTTATTTTAAAGAGGCATCTCCGAGGTTAATGGTTTTGGTGTGCTTTTTCACCGGACTTAATTGTCCGATTGCCTGACTCCTTCTTCTTGAGATTGCGATGCTATTCAGATAGTCACAAAAGCAACATTGACCCTTCGAACAATACCCTAATCTGTGCAGATGACACCGCAGCCTGCATTGAGCTGTTTAAAATCCAACTAGCTGCCTTTATCGGCCTCTGGTACAAGGAATTCGTTTTTTGAACCGTTTCTATCGTAGTCTCTCCGAAATATAACTGCCCGTCGATGGCCAGGCACTAGTTACCAGTAGGGTTAGCTCTGATACTATAGAATTGGTTGCCGCGCTTCCTCCATGATAGTAGGATATTTCTTACAGTGGCAGTCCTGTTCAACACCTATTAACTAGTGTTGATTTAATTTCAAGGGATGAGATTGCCTGAACTGCACCTTGATCAGCACTGAAAATGACTATTCGTTCCCTATGATAGTTCTTCTCTAGGATTACCTCAGCGCATCTGTTTATGGTGTAGATCTCAGCTTAAGAAAATCTTGAAAACCTGACCATGGGCATTGACAGTTTTTGTATTTGCCAAAAATATTGCGTTACAATAACATTTATTTCAATACATTCATGTGCCCAATTAGACTTCATAAAGTTTCACTTCTTATGTTTATGTAAATTAATTTTAACGACTTTGCATTTTAGCATTTATATATGTATGCATTTTCAAAGTATTTAATTTAGTGTTTAGTATAATTTATTAAATACCCAAGCTAATATTTTTCAGTAGTGGCATCCTTTGCAAATGTTATAAAAAATGCGAGTTTTGACAGCTCTCTCTCGAACCAAAGAGTCTCGTATCAAGTTATGTATGGTTGGGGATCTCATTATCTCTGGATATACATTGCATATATTTTCTTGATTTGGATCTCCTCTATCCGTACATATCCATTTTAACCCCGAAACTGGGGGTGCTATTCTAAAATTTACCTCAAAAACATACTTTGCTTCACGTGATTCTCTCGATTATCTATTGGCAATGTTTAAAAAGATCACGGGGATTGTTTAGTATCGCGCCGATTAAGCATCGTTTATGGAGAAAAACAGGGTTGGCAACCCCCCTCCCGACCCCTTATTGGAAAGAGGAAGGATCGAACTTTTTAATAAACCCCCCTCGACCCCCTAGAGCCCCTATGGACCTGTAGGGAGGCCTTTGAAAATGACCAAAAATCCGTGTTTTTGCTCATTTTTCCATACAAACTGAAACCAATGCAACCCAGCCAACATTTTTGTATGGACAAAAAATCAAAATAAATAAAGCCAAAATGTTTCAGTGCAATGTATGTGCATATTTAATTGCATCTATTAAAGATTGAATGTCATCTTTTCCTTGTTTTTGAATAGATCGGCGCCACATATATTCGACGATGAGGTCGGCGAAGTTGGCGGTGTGATTGTAGTTGTCTTTGTAAAAGAAGCGTTTCACTACGCGCCATTGCGACTCAATCCGCTGCGTATGAATACCGTCTTCGGAAACGAAAGGGTTGGTGTCGTCGCTGTGATTAACTTTTTGGTGGACGTACCCAAAATTTGGTAATGCRTCATATGCCCGCCAGCAGTCCGTCCGRACTATGCTTCCTTCAGCCACGTGCTTCTGGATCAATGGGATTAAAATGTCCGCTGTTCGAAGATTGTCAGGACATACTTCGAGGCGTATGTCCTCGCTAGCATCTTCAATCATCCCAAGAACCCAGTGTCCCTCTACGCGCCTGCCTAAAATGTAAAAAAAAAACCTTATTAGAGTTAAATTCATTGTATAAGGAAATAGTATTACCTTTGTTGTACTTCCGCCGCCCAAATTTGCTCTCGTCGATCTGAACAATTTTTCCCGGACCACCAATTTTTYCTTGTTCATATTGGTGGTCCAACTGGTATATTACCACGKCCTCTCGGCAATAACTATACCAGTCTGTTATTGTTGCGGATGACAAAGTTTTCCCTTCATTTCTATAGTCCTCGCACAATATTTGTTCGCGGGACATACGATATGCAAAGCAGTACATCAAAAAGTATACCTGAGGGACACTGATGCGGACATTTTCAAACCATGTCCCGATGGTTACAGAAACACGTGGCTTTTTTGTGCACGTGCCCCTGTAGCACACAAAATACCCAAATTTGCCCCCTTTGCGTATAGTCTTAGGGACCTTGGGTACAGGGCACATTTGCTCGCTCGGTATTAGGCCATTTTCCTCCGCAAAACGGGCTCCTTGTTCATTCATGCGCAGCTCGGTGGCAACACGCATAAGGCTCCACTCAAACCGTGTAGACCGCGTTCCTGAAAAAAATAATATATTCCAATATTAAAATGTCTTATTATTTTTTCATTGTTTTGTAATATTTTTAATTTCAATCACGCCGAATAACACGGAACACGTATTTTGCATAACTTCAAATTTTTAAATWTGGRTAAACATATGAAAAGTACCGTTATGCTTCCCAGCACACATATTAGATGGTATATTGAAATCGTTAAGAAATATAAAGCCTTAATTTGTTTTATACTTAAATTTGTAAAATARTGCTTTACCGGGATTTCCTCCACAGTATTTTAGCATTTCATTCCTTTTCAATTTCCTACACCGAGGTGTTCAGGGTTCTTTCGCGTAGAACTCCTTTCTGTATTGGCGGCCTTCGACCGCGCTTTAAAAAAATAACCCTTAGCATTGAACACCATTTCCTCCACAGTATTTTAGCATTTCATTCCTTTCCGTACTAGCGGCCTTCGCCGCACTTTAAAAAAATAACCCCTAACCCGGTCCAACACCGGCTACGCTATCCACAGTATTTTAGCATTGAACACCTTTTCGCGTTCTCTTCATATATTTATTGCTAAATGGGTTTAATTTATCCCTTTTATTCGTGCTTTCTCGGTAATTTAACAGTTTAAATTAGGCAGTCATTTTGGTTTTTCGCATTATTGAACTCAATGCAGAAAAAGATGTATTTTATTTAAAGATTTACAAAGAAATTAACAATCAAAAGTAATTAAAGACATTACTAGTGGTTTTTATAATTCATAAGTAATATATGTGCGTGAAACTGTATCCATAATTGGTTTGGTACAATGCACAACAGATGAAAATGCACTAGCATATGTATATTTAGAAATTTCCAAAAAATAGCATTTTTAAAGTGAATTTGTAGAAAAATTTGTGAACCGATTTTTATAAAATATGTTTTAAAACAAAGTTCGATAATTTAAGCATACATGCGTGTTTAAAGTTTTCCATTGGTTCTCTCGTTTAGGTACGGTGAGCCAAAATTAACCGGCGCGATACTCAACACAACCCAAGATCACAATTGCCCATTATTTTCTGCAATATTTGCTATAGGAAAAATCTAAAGCAAAAGATGTATGTGAATTAACCATTAGTTATCTTGCCACAAGCGTGTTTATCGGAAAACTTATGTTGCTTATCGTAGCTAGTATTATTATTATGAATATTATGTGATTTCATTTTGATTTTCATATACTTTTATTGCGCTTAATTTATTGATGGCGGGAACGAAAATATTTATAAATAAATTCTCACGGCCTTTAGTTTCCGAGATATTTAGAAACTATGAGACTATGTGTGACATAAGCAATCATATAAAATTATTCTCCACTCACAATGTGAACGAAATTTTTCTGCGTGATACTGAAAATAACATTTTACTAAGGAAGCATACAAATAATGTACCAGTTATTAAAACTCTGCTTCAAAAACTGGGAAAATGTCCCAATGATATAGAGATACAACGTCAGATTGAGATTGAGCTTTTAAAACTTCCCAATAGTACACATTCCCGAGTGGTTAATTATGGAGAAAAAGGGCATGAAGTATATAACAATAACTTAGCGCCCGGCACAGGCGAACAATTTTCTGACGTATGTAAGTATTTGAATGTATTAAGAATGGAGCATTTAGGGCAATTCGCTGGCCATAAAAGCTACTATTTGATGGGAGACTTAGCGAGTTTAGAACAGTCTTTAGTACGGTACACAATGTCATATCTAAGGAAGGAAGAATTCAAGCTCATATCAGTCCCTGATATCTTACCAAGTAATATTATAAATGGGTGCGGCATGCAAACAGAAGGGAACCGAAATCAAATTTATAAAATTGACTCTGAAGAATGTTTGTCTGGTACATCCGAAATGGCACTAGCAGGTTTTTTTACTGATCAAGTTATTGAAGAACAATGTTTACCACTAAAAATTGCTGCTGTAAGTAGATGTTACCGTGCAGAAACATCGGGATTGAATGAAGAAAAAGGGATTTACAGGTATATAAATTTACGTTTAAGCATATTCTAATTAGTTTTGGGATTTATTTTCAGAATTGTCTCATCATTGCTACAATATTTTTAATAGTTATTTAAATTTTTTAGTTTTAGCAGTGTGGAATAGGAATCCTTAATTTATGCTTTTTCTAAGCATGATTGAACATTACATTCTTCCAGTTTGATTTCTTTTTTATATTTATGTTATTTTTCAATTATCTAAATTATTTCTAAAATATTCATAGTTTCGCATCAGTTAAAGTATAACCGACTAATATTATAGTTATTAAAAGAAAACATTACAAAGCCGTATTTTGTTATAAAAGTCAACGTGATTTAAAATTTTATTTAAATGTATATAATGAAAACATTCTTTGATTTGAAAAGTATATTGTCAGGGGATTTCTAATACATTGCTTTTAATTTATTTGGTTGTTTAATGTTTTTTCTTTCAAAATGTTATATCTCACAAACCAATTATCAGACGTGTGTTTTGAGTAAAGAGTGGCTCCCTGTTCGAGTTTGTTTGTTTCGAGGATTAAATGTTATGTTTTTAAAGGACCATCAGCAGCTTTCTCAATTTCTAGTGGGCTGTATGAAATTTCGGGTTGTGTTTAGTATCGCGCCGGTTAATTTTGGCTCACCGTRCCTAAATGAGAGAACCAAATGGAAAATTTTAAACACGCATGTATGCTTAAATTATCGAACTTTGTTTTAAATAATATTTTATAAAAATCGGTTCACAAATTTTTCC